GTACATGAAGAAGCTAGTACTACTTCTGATGTCAAGCAGGATTCATTTGTATCGGATACTAGGTCTTCAACTACTCTCACCGCCTCAGAAACAGAATTAAGTTTTACTGAAAACGTTCCTACAGAAGCGTCATTCGTAGCACATCCAACAAAACGATAAACTTCAATCACTTGCTAATTTTCAAAATTTAAATTACTAGAGGAGCTTTTATAGTTTCAAATTGAGTAGGTTACTTTAATTCTTGCGTTATTTTTAGAAAGATTGGTTACGTTAGAGATTTGGACTACGAAGATTTTGCCACGCCAAGGAGAAGGCGAAAAAACCTTAACATGGTTAAAATGACGCTTGCGAAATCTCGCAAGCGAATTCGACTTTTGAGGAATAATTTAATAAATTTAAATTTAATAAGGCAAAAGGCGAATAAATACGCTAGAGAACCTATTGCAACACTTAAAGAGAAACTCATATATCTGAAGGGTCTGAAGACCGTATCAAGATAGTTATATTGTATTGCAATATTTGTCTTTATGTTGGTTTGTGTAAACGAACGATGAAAAATTCCAATCGGATATTGTTTAGTAGATGGCTTATCCGAAGCAGAACAGGCTGAACTTGTAAATCTTTACATTTTATTAGTGACAGCGGGGTCGTAGTTACGTTGTTAACGTTTGATAGTGCAGCATCAAATTTTGCGATGTGCAAATATTTGGGTGCAGACTTTACGGATCCGGATAATTTAAAAGCAAGCTTTAAACACCCCGTAACCAATTCAGATTCATCGACATTCTTCTCGGCTTCAGCCACATGGTAAAATTAATTAGGAATTGTTTTGCATCACAAAAATATTACACCGTCAAGAGCTTATTACATGGGATTTTCTTCAGGTACTAGTCGCAATACAAAATTTAGAGGGATTATACGCTGCTACAAAATTGAGGATTAGGCATTTGAGTTGGACACGAAAAAATGAAGGTACGATTGGCAACGCAAACCCTCAAAAAAATGTCTGATGCTCTGCTTTTTTTTAGCAGAAGATTTAAAGCACCCAAAATTTAAAAATACTAAAGCAACAGCAAATTTTGTAAAAATGTTTAATAATATTTTCGACATTTTTAAATCCAGAAGTTGCCATAAAAAAAGCTTTGTCACTTGAAACTGACCAGGATTTTTTCCTATATTTTGATGAAGTTAAATTATGTATTAAAGAACTCTCACTTAATAGTACTTCAGTTCTAAGTTCTTTTAGAAAGGTAGGTTTTCTAGGCTTTTTAACATGCATGGAAAGCTTAAGAAGCTATACGTTAAAGAAAAGGGTATTCTAAAATTTATACTGACGCACAAGTTATCGCAGGATCACTTGAAATTATTTTTTGGATGCGTTAGAAACAAGGGCGGCTTTAACAACAATCCGACTGATAGGCAATTTGAAGCTGCATATAAGCAAATACTTATTAATTCAGAAATCAGTGCAGGAAACCAAGAAAATGCCATTACTTTGGAAGATATAACAATTTTGAAGTTTAGAAAAAGAAGAGAAGTTTAATCAATTACAATTATCGATCAGAGATGAAATAACTACAAATTTAATATCTATTAACTCAAGTGCCTGGAACTTGACTTATTATACTGAAGTTGTAGTGACATATATATCAGGATATGTTGTTAAAAATTAAAAAAAATGCAAAAGATGTCAGGTACTAATGGTCAGTGACAGTAGTTCTTCAATGCTTCAGGTCAGGAAATATTTTGGATCTATGATAAAAGCAGCAACATTGTTAGCGGACATTAGTAAGAAAGGGAGTTTTAGGAAAGTTTTTTTAGACTGTTTAATAAAACGAACAATATTTTTACTATCAAAAATAATTAATTGAAAGATTAATTAATGGAACATCGAAACATTTGTCCAGTACAATTTTTTAATGCTTTGGAGATCATTTATTCGATAATAATCCAATAGAATCCCACGGGATCAAATTTGTCAAGTTAGCATTGAAGCATTATTTTAAAATCCGAATCCACTACGAAATAAGTAAAAAGCAGGACTCAACAAAATATAAGCGCGTTCGATCGATTAATACAAAAGTAATTTTGTTTAAAAATCAATAAAACTTCAAGACTTGTTAACTCAGCTTCTATATTTCGTTTTGCTAATTGAAAGAAGCTGTAACTATCGCAACAGTTTTGATATCAATAAAATCTCTGTTTGTGACGTCTTATGTATGTAGACACCGGAAAAAATTTGTCGTAATTTTATTGGTCTTGGTTATATTCCATGCAAATCTTCCATGTTAATTTGTGCGTCAAAAGTTTTAAATATATTCCTTATGCAATTTACTATTAACTTGCTTCATATCACCTCTAAATTAAAAAAAAAATGCTACCTTTGTCGAAAATACTAGATTCTTCTCGGTAATGTATAACCAGTAATCCTAGTAATTAATATAATCTTATAAATTTTTCGTGCAGCTAAGATTTTTACAAATTTTAATATGTTTTAATGTGGTTTAATATTGTAGCATTGTCAAGTTGTACTTTTGAAATATTTTTTTCGAATTTGCTTACGTTTAAATTAAACAAAACCTTTGTGTAGAAAATATTTAACAGTTTGAGTCAGAAATCGTTAAAAACGTAAAATATACGTTTAAATTTAAGTGTATACTTCTGGCGAACGAAACGCCAATGTTAATGCATACAATCTTATTAATTTTGAATTATTTGTCCCACAATCATTCAAATAATTTATATAAATACGTTTACTTTGTAAGTTCTAGTACAGACGGGGACACATATAATTAGACTATTAAATAGTTGTTGTGTAAATCTGACTTTCTATCTCCATCTACCTTTGCGTAAATGACATAATACTGACAGAAAATTTTCCTGTTACCAAAATGACACATTCAAAAGTATTTGAAAAAACTCGGAAACAAAAATCGGGAAAAATCGCCTTTAGGAGTCGTCTACTTTTTTGTGTCGCCGACTGTTTGTTCTATTATTGGTTTTAATGTAAGTTTTGTAAACACTTAAATTTACGAATTTTCATTTCACTTTTCTAATTACATGTTAAAACGGGAAGGCCAAAGTCAAATCAATAACCCAAGACTACCTTACTGTAACATTCCATATTATTATTATATAAAAGGTTTGTATTTGCTCGGAATGCGATTTTAACTACTAGTTTTTCTATATGTAAATATTTAAAACTTGTTCATTTACATATTATTTCTTTCGTTGACATGTTTTGCTTTCTAAAGAAATGTTCAAATTGAAATAAATTTTCCTAAAAAAGTTTTTTACCCGCCTATGGCTGTTGCATGCCGACAACGGGCCGAGAGCATCAGTGTTTAACATGTGTTTGGGTATCGGCTCTACACACTCCCCACTCTTTCCACTCTTTCCCATCTTCCGTCGCATGCATGGGGGTCTCACTCAAATAGTCAAGGTCAGACCAAGATTTTGCTTGTCGTTAGCGCCACCTAGGCCTTGCTTACGAGTCAACTTACTCATAA